AAGCAAATATTAGCTGAGGGAAAATGGGCTGGAGTTACCTTGTCCTTGGTGAGGCTGCTTCTTTTGGTTCCCAGGGCCTCCTTTCTACATGTGCCAGCATCTGTTCTTCCTGGTCATGTGACCCTTTATAGCATGGCCATTACCAAGGTGACTGCCTGTTTCATGCACATCATGCATCATTGATCACCCATACCCACATAGGACCACTCAGCGTTCTCCTCCCTTCGGACACATGTCTCAGAGGACTGGTGTATTTTGGAGAATCCACTGGGAGCTGGGGGGAGAATAAGAGCTGGTAAATGTTTAACAACTGGCTTTTCTCCCAAGAAAGGATCCTGATTTCTGTGGCTTTTTAAGCTAAGTCTCTGATATATGTATATATTTAATCTTTAATTTATGGTGTGCTATAGAACAATTGTATTTGAATTTAAAAAATTATCAGGTCTCAAAAAAATGTCTGTAGTTAATTTAAAGCTGGTCATGAAGTCACCCAGCTTGCGTAATTCCTGAAAATTTAAAAATAGGCTCTTGCAGGCCAATTCCAGCACACTTTTGGGACACCCGAATCTTTTCCCATGCAGATTCACTCTTGAGTGCCTGCTCCATGCCTTACCTGCCTGGAAAAACATCCCATCTCAGCCTGCTGTCACTTAACACCCAATCAGATGTGACCTGTGTAGTTGATTTGAGCAAGAAATGGGCACTAGACTGTACTGTAGAGTTTACTCTTGACTTCACAAAACATTGACTTTACTCAATGTCATTACAGGTTTTAGTTGCTACGCTGTAAAAAGGAAGGAATGAGCCAGTGAATTTTAAAGGCTCTTTCCCTTCAAATATACATAATCTGGGATTTTATATCTATAATCAAGCTAATTTTCTATTTTTTCAAATAGTCTCTCTTTCCTTGATTTGCCTTTTGCTGTCATTCTCACACAAATTCTTCCACTAACTTAAGACCAAAACTCCTTTTTCTTTAACTCTGCACCCTCTTTTGTCCCTCACCACTGAGGTAGCAGCAGACAAAACCTGTTACTTTAAGTCATTGCTGCTGCTGCAGGCCCTTGTCACTTCATGAATAAGGGCATGCTCCCTACTCTAGTGTGCTCCCCATTAACACAGCCAATTCACCTTCCCAAACACCACCCTATGTTCTTTCCTGGCTCAAAAACTTTCACCAAGGCCCACAATTGTTTGAGCCCTCTGTCTGACTTTGAAGTTCCTGTCAGTACCAGCTCTACCCAAGTCCACCTTCCAAATCCATACCTTTCAAAGTGAAAGGGCTGCAGGCATACTGGTCTCTGGCTGACTGTCTCTTTTCACCAGGCTGGCACTGTGAGAGATTACCTCTTCTTCCTCTCCACACATGGTAGCTTCTCTTCTGTTCAAATCCTGGTGCTGACCTCAGGAACACACACAGGCGTACTATCCTTAGGATATCTTGCTCTTGCTGAGTGACATCCTGTCTGGAATGCTCATTTTTGCTTCTGGTTCTCTTTTTATAACAGGTTTATTAAGATGTGATTTATATACCATGCAATTCACCCACTTAAAGTGCACAATTCACTGGTTTTTAGAATAGTCACAAATATGTGCAACCATTCATAAAATAATTTTTAGAACATTTTATTACCCCCCACCCCCAGAAAAGCCCTCTTAACTCTTTAGTCATCAGTTCTCGGTCTCCCCATTCCCCCAAGTCCAAGGCAACCACTAACTACCTTTTTGTCTCAGGATATTTGCTTATTCTGAACATTTCAAATTAGTGGAATCATATAGTTTAGCTTTACATTTATGTTTAGCTTATTTCACATATTGGAATGGTTACAGGTTTATTCATTTTGTAGCATGTGTGAATACTTAATTCTTTTTTATGGATCCAATGGTAACTCTATGTTTAACCTTTCGAGGAACTTCCAGAGTGTTTTCCACAGTGGCTGTGTTATTTTATGTGTTATTTTATATTGTCATCAGCAATATATGAGGATTCTGATTTCTCTATATCCTTGTCAACACTTGTTATTATCTGACTTTTTGATTATAGCCATTCTAGTGGGTATGAAAGTAGTATTTCCCTGTAGTTTGAATTTGCCTTTCTCTAATGACTAATGATATTGAGTATCTTTTGTATATTTTCTTTGGAGAAATACTTATTCAGATCCTTTGTCCATTTTTTGATTGGGTTATATTCTTTTTGTTATTGAGCTGTGGGAATTTTTTTATATATTCTAGATATGTATCTCTTGCCAGGTACATGGTTTGCAAATATTTCCTCCCATTCTGTTGGTTATATTTTCATTTGATTTTGTCCTTTGGTACTAGGAAGTTGAATTTTGTTGACTTTCAGCATATCTGTTTTTCTTTGATTGCTCCTGCTTTTGGTGTCATATTTATAAATCCACTGCCAAAGCCAAGATCATAAAGATTTACTCCTAAAAAGAAGAAAAAGGGGTTAACTCCTATATTTTCTTAAAAGAATTTCATTGTTTTAGCTCCTACATTTAGGTGTCTGATTCATGTGTATATGGTGTGAGGTAGGTGCTCAACTTCATTTTTTTGCATGTGTAAATCCAGTTGTACTAGCACCATTTGTTGAGACTTTTCTCACCCCATTAAATTATATTGGTATGTCTGTCAATCAGTTCACCATAGACATATAGGTTTGTTTTTAGATTCTTAATTTTCTTCCATCACAGTACATGCTTGGGTCTTCTTTTGTCCTATATTACTAAATAGCTATTTGATTTTCATCCATCTTAAATACTAGAGGGACTCAATTATTATTATTACTATTTCCTTACATTGCTAAAAAAATGTTTAAGCTGGAAAGCATTATGCTAAGTGAAATAAGCCAGGTGGTGAAAGACAAATACCATATGATCTCACCTTTCACAGGGACCTAAACAACAAAACAAACAAGCAAGCAAAATATAACCAAAGACACTGAAATAGAGAACAGGCTGACAGTGACCAGAGAGGTGAGGGGAGGTAATTTCAGGGGAAAAGGGGAAGGGTTTACAGGAACAAGTTTAAAGGACACATGGGCAAAAACAAAGGGGGGCGGTGAAATGGGAGGGAGGTGGAGAGGGCTGAGGGGGTGCGCTGGGATGGGAGTAAAAGGCAGAAAACTGTACTTGAACAACAATTAAAATTAAAAAAAAAATGCAGAAGTGCTAAAAGTAAAAATCCTGCCCCAGCTTTTCCTGCTGCTACTTGCAGGGCTTTGTTTTTTATGTAGCCTTTTAGACTTTTATATATGAACAGTTTCATACATCTGTGTATGCATAAATGCAAATATTCAAATGCATTTTTACATTTGTGAATGTACACATGTATATATTGACATTTATATTTGTATGTTTATAATTTTTATAATTGTATATCTCTTTTTGCAAAATTGAGATATACAGTGTCCTGTAACTTTCTAAATCAGCAGTATATCATATACATCCCTTTGTGACAGTTCCATGTGTTACCTCATTCTTTTTTTATTTTTTAATTTTTTAAAAGATTTTATTTATTTATTTTTAGACAGAGGGGAAGGAAGGGGGAAAGACAGGGAGAGAAACCTCAGTGTGTGGTTGCCTCTCATGTGTCCCCCTCTGGGGACCTGGTCCTCAACCCAGGCATGTGCCCTGACTGGGAATCGAACTGGTAACCCTTTGGTTCGCAGGCTGGCACTCAATCCACTGAGCCACACCAGCCAGGGCAACATTCTTTTTTCAGATTTAAAAAATTAAAAAAAATTTTTTTTATCCTTACCCAAAGACAATTTCATTGATTTTATAGAGAAGAGAAGGGTAGGAGAGAAAGAGGGAGAGAAATGTCAGTTTGAGAGAGAAACGTTGCCTCTCACTTGTGCCCTGACCAGAGACCGAACCCACAACTCAGGCATGTGCCCTGACCAGGAATTAAATCTGCGATGTTCTGGTTTATGGGATGATGCTCCAACCAACAGAGCCACACGAGCCAGGGCACCTCATTCTTTCTTAATGGTTGCATGATATTTCATAGCAGGTATACATCATCATTTCTTTAATGAGTTCTCTATTGCTGCATATTTGTATTGTTTTCTTTCTTTTTCTCCTCTCTATTTCAATGCTGTTGAATACATGTGGGAAGACTTTTCTCAGATGGATACCTGAAAGTGGAATTACTCATTGGGATTTTTGTCTTAAAGTCATTTTTATATTTTTCCCTCAGCTGTACTTTATGATGCTTTGCACATATTAGGCACTTAATAAATACTCACTGAAGTGAACACTTAAGGGTTTTCATTCTGCATTTATCCTTAACTTGCTATTCATTTTAATAAACTGTTCAATGACACCCTCATGCCTATTTCACTTCCTCTAAAATGAATGAAAGTTTCCATTATCCAGTTTTCATTAGAGGGAACTAAGGTGAAATGAGTATGTGTGGCACGGGGGAGTATACAAAGTTGAGTAAGAGGAAACCCCAGCCTTCCAGGTGTTTACAAACCATTAGGATGAGGCAGACAGGATATGTGGTGTGTTGCTAAGAGGTACACATGAGTTCTGAAAGGAACAGGAGAAATACTACTTCACTTGGGTGTTAACAGGGAAGATCCCACAGAGGAGGGGACACTGAGATGCTCTTAAAGGAAAGACAAGATTTGGGCAGTTGGAGGCATACCAGGGGTGGGGGCTGCTGGTGGTTCTTGGTGGGAGAGCATAATGAATTCAGAGGAGGCAAGAAAAGTGAGAACTCAGGTTTCACTGGTGCAGGCAGGGAGCAGCAGTTGATGAAGCTAGAGAACCAGCAGGGAACCTGCTGTGGTCAACCTGGAATCCATACAGGGGTTTGCTAATCTGATAAGCACTGGGCCATTACAAGAAGTTTGGAATGGAATTATATTATTGGAGTTGGTCTTGAGGATGTGGTGTCAGTGGTCAGTCTAGGGCATGGTTAAAGGCTAATCCTCATTTCCAGAGGTTTCTATGGTATAACTTTTTCCCATTCTTTAATTCTTCCCTTAGCTTTCTGAAAATGTGGTTAACCTCATGAAGGAATCCAACCAGCCTTCCAAAGTGGGCCAGCTGACTTTTCTTCCTGCTCTTCCACCTTCCACATTTGGCACCTCTAAAGGCCCGGAGAAAGGTACGGCATGATGTAGTCATTCTGTGGAAAACTGGATTAGAGTATGAAAGGAATGATAAACCACGTTCCTTGCAGAACATGTTTGACAGCTAATGTGGCTCTGGTTTGTTTTTGGGAGATATGAACAACTCCATTCTGATAACTGCTTTTGAGGAGAGTGTGGCTTCCGTGCATGACAGATGCTGTCTAGTATAATGAGAACAGCACAGCTTAGTCAGAGCTTCTGCGATTGGTTTTGCCTTACTGTTTCGGTTTTTCTATATGTAAAAATGAGGCAAAAGGGCTTGGTTTGACAACTCCTATAAGAAGTTGCTTTTAAAGATTCATGAGCAAAGCATAATCATTAATGTTGGTATGGTCCAAAGAATGGTAGAGATGTATGTGAATTGAGACAATTAGCAGGAATTGAGTAGGTGACTCTAGCGTCAACCTCAGCAACTCTAACCTAGCCCACACATCCTGGTTCTGGCCTGGACTTCTGGGAGGGCCTTTTATCCTATACTTCCCAGGAGTTCTTCTTCATGTACCCACGCCATTCAGAGGTCTAAGCTGATTTGTTCACTACTGTTTCTTGCCTATCACAGATGAAGAAATTTGTGCTTTTCTCTAAATAACTACTTTCAGCAAACACAAAGGAACAAAAAAAGTTTAAGAAAGGAGGTATAAGGTACAAAAATGTTAAGATATTACAAACTACAAAAGTCTTGAGGCATTTGCTGTTCATGAGAATCTGGGTCTTAGCTATCACTTATAACTTGTGTACCTTTTCACCAATTGACTGGAAGAGCCATGGCACTATGGAGTATAAACTCTGTCTCACCATGGATAACTGTTCTTTGTACTGTATGTGGTCTTACATTAGAGTTGCCTTTTCTGCTGATCCTTCCTATTAGGTTATAAGGTTATAGAACGCAAGAATGATATCCTGTCTATTCAGTATTTACTGAAAGCTGGCCAGGGATCAGGGCATGTGCCTTGTTCTGGGACACAGTGACAGGTATACAGAGACACCATTCTTATGGCACCCATTGGTCTGGTTAAGGAGCCAAATATACATATAACCCAGTAGGTCACATTTTTCATGTGATACTGCAACACTAGATGCATGCCCAAAGTCTAAGGCAGAGGAGTGAGTGACTCACTATTTTAGGGCTGGGCTCCAAGGGGGGATGACTTTTAAACTGGGTTTTGAAAGCAAGAGCAGTGGTGGACAGGTGGTTTAGGCATGCTGAATAGCATCAGCAGAGGTCCAGAGGGGGCGCAGCCTGGCCAGTTTGTGGACCTCAAGGCAGTTTGCCATCTCTGGAGTACAAGAAGGAAAGAGGAGGTGTCAGGGCTGTGCTCAGGGGCTAGGTCCTGGAGACCTCTACATGGTGACAAGAGAGCTTTGGCTTCATCCTTGTGGCCAGAGTGCCTGCCAGGCCCTTTACATCTCTCTCCCTGTATTGTCTGCTTGAGGGCTTCCTGAGCTTTAGCACAAATCAGTACCTATATTTGGACCCATCCCAAGATCTTTTAGAATATTCTATTAGTGAAGGGGCTGAGTGAAGTTCTCAAAACCCACACAAAATACCCCCATCTATTATCATAAGGGCTAGCTCCCATGATTTCTCTAGCTGACTGATGAGTTGAAGTGGGCCTAACGTAACCTAGGACACTTTAATAAGCTGCATTTAACTGGTGAGAGGGAGAGTAATGAAAAAAACAAAAATTGCCAAATATATTATGCACATGTCAGTTTCAGCTTTGAAAGATAAAAGAAGCACATTGCAGTTTTGGTAAGTTTCAATAGTTTGAGAAGCAAAAATTGTGGTTCTTTTGTCATTTGGTTTTAGTTATAATGATGTATTTTTTTTGTTTAAATAATGAGTGAGTTTTGAGTTTCTGAATGCTAAAGAATAGTCAGCATAAATGGACTGTCTTGGAATTGACTAATTTTAAAATATTTTTACTTTTAAAATCAGTGCTTACTTTAATTTAATGATAGAAACTAATGAGAAAAAAGAAGTTAAAATTAAATCCTAGCCCTGGCTGGTGTAGCTCAGTGGATTGAGCACAGGCTGGGAACCAAAGTGTCCCAGGTTTGATTCCCAGCCAGGGTGCATGCCTGGGTTGCAGGCCATAGCCCCCAGCAACTGCACATTGATGTTTCTCTCTCTCTCTCTCTCTCCCCCCTCCCTCCCTTCCCTCTCTAAAAATAAATAAATAAAATCTCTAAAAAAATTTAAATCCTTATGTTACACCATACCTCAAAATAAATGTCAGAGGCATTACAAGATTTAAATTCAAGAATTGAAGCCATAAAAATGTACACAAGTACATAAAAGTACAATAAGTAGACTTTCTAAGCTCCACATCAAATGAAGAAACCCTAAATTATGAAGAAAAGTAGGTACTAAAGCTAAAGAAATTAGAGATATTTTAAAAAAATAAATGAAGAATGAATAAGAAACTAGGGAACTATAACATGACAGTATTGGTAGTCTTAATATATAAAGAGTTCTTAAAAGATTCTTAATGAAAATGTACAAAAATGGTCATATACATGTGATGAGATTACAACTTCACTAATGATTAGACACATTAAAAAATGAGGAGTACAAGGGGGCAGGGAAATGGGTAGACTTGTACATAGAAGGTGGGAGTGTGGATTAGTGTTACTTTCTCTACAATGGATTGATATATTTGATACATTATTTTGTAGCAATAAAAGGGAAATTGTATAAACAGCAAAAATAGGATACATTATATCTCAATAAAGCTGTCATAAGCAAATAAGTAAGGACAGGGAGCATTAACATCAAAATAAAAACTTGTCAGCAGTATACTATTTTCTATTCCTTGTTGAGAACTTGTAATGTTACTATGAAACATATAGTTGTGCCTTCCTTGCAGGCTGGAGCATCACTGGGCCCATCCTTCCATAGGGGGTCTGAAAGTGGGAATCATAGGATGATTACTTTAGGAAATGACTCCCTGAAGGTTGAGTGCTTTAGCCTGTGAGTTCAGCATGCTTTGAAAGGTCTTGGGAGTGGAATAGCAAATCCTCACGTATTCTTTTACAAAGTCTGGTTCTTCTATCATATTTTGTGCCACTTTAGAAGCCTATGCTGGAAGTGTAGGACATTTGGTCAAGGCCACAGAAGTGTTGAAATTTGGCTGAGAGATGGGAAGGATAAAGGCTGGGGGAAGGAGGAGAACAAAACATTCTATATCACCAAGTGGTGAGGAGAGTAGAGTGAATTGGATTTGCTCAGAAATCTCCAAGTTCATGACTGTCAAAAGGTAGACTGACTGTAACAATTTAAAGAACCCAATAATACTAGAGGTTGATTCAGGTTAATTGATATATAAAATACCATTAATAGGGAGTGTTTGCCATATTTGGGATTAGAAATTCATAGAGTGGGGTACTAAGATAAATAAGATTTAAGGAACCCCCTTCCCCCATGTCAAAACTGAGACCCCAGAGATTATCCTTTTAGCACGAAGCATGATGTGGTCTTTCAGCTGTTCCTGGCCTGTGTTTAGTAGATGACCTAGATTCCAAGCAATTGTAGAGTGAGTTGGGATGAATTGGAAACACTGCACTCAAGTAGTTCTGTCTACTGCCAGTCCTGTGTAGTTAGAGGTTCTGGTCCAGAATGAAGGAGTGGAAGGTCTTTGGGCTGTTCCTCTCCAGACTGGCTGGATCAAGGATGTGTTCTGTATTCATCCCTGGGGCATGTCCCTCCTTGGGAGTGTATTCCTGAGCCCCTTTCCTGGATGACTGCAATGCCTTCCTTTGTCCTCTGGTGCTACTGACAGGTCTTTTCTTTTCATCCCTTTGCAGGCTCCAGACTGCCCAGGTCAGAGTATGGTAGTAGCCAGACACCCTCAGGGGTGGAGGGGGATCTCCTTAAGAGGTGAGTGTGAGTGCCCACTCACCCCTGGCTTCGTGCTGTGGCTGAATGCTCTTTCCTCACTGGGGCCCTTTCCCTGGCCTAAAGGCCCTAGGTTTATCTCATGTATTTTGTCTTATTTAGATTGTACAACAACCCTGTAGCATAGGTGGTACTAATCCTAGTTTAAAGATGAAGAAACACCAAAAAGGGCATGTGGGAGTTGAATACTAATGTTTTCAAAAATTAGTGTCTGGACCTTCTGTGCCTGTGTGTGTGTGCAAGCATATTTTTAGAGATATGAAGGAGAAAGTGGAGTTCTTAGAATTCTAACTGTAGTTGGTGAGATGGACTTGGCTCCAGGATGTTGGTGATGTTCCACCAGCATAGGCCAAAACACTGGAGAGCTAGCCATACATCTGAAGTGGGATCTGCTTCACCTCTTGAGGCTTGTATAATAGTGTTTAAGGCATAGAGGCCTTCGTGGAGTGCAGGTTTGCATCCCAATTTTGTGATTTCCTGGTAATATGACTCTGGAAAATTACTGCATCTTTCTAGGCCACTGAGAAGACATAAATGAAGTACCTCTTTCATTGGTTTTGCCCTGATTAAATATGTTAATGCATATAAAGTACACAAAGTGCCAGGTACACAGAGTTCTCAGTGAATGCTAACTGTAATTGTTACTGATTGACTTCTTCAAACCCTTGAAGACGCTGGCCTCTGTGGCAAAGGACCAAATGAGTTTGTTTAGGGGTGTGCAGTGTCAGCTACAGTTGGTTTTCTCCCTCCAGCAGGTTAGCCATGTGGGTCTGTTCCATAGTCATAGATTAATCCACATCCTAAGAATTTCACCTCTGTAATCTAAGAGGCCTCTCCAAGAATAACTAACTTGAACTCTTTTTTTATACTTTTAAACAGTTAAAAAAGATCAAGTAATACATGCTAATGAAAGACTTAGAAAATATATAAAATGAAAATATCATCCATAGATTCATCATTAAAAGACAACCACTGTTAATATTTGGAGTTTTCTTTCAAATGTGTCTTTTCCCTAGTTTAGGATTATTTTTTCAGAGTCATATATAATTTTATATTTTGCTGTTTTTACTTAGTATTATAATTTTTCCCATTTGTTATACCTGCTTTTAGAAACATTTTTATTGCTAAAAAGAAGTTTTTCATTCTCAATTTTTAGGTTGAATCTATAGACAAATCAAATAATATATTTTCTAATGCTAATGTAATATATCATTATATGATTATACCAGATGCTTTTAAACTTGATCTTAATTGCTGGACATTATAGTTGCTTGCATTTCTTACACTATAATGAATAATACCATTAAGATCATCTTAGTACTAGTAACTTTTTTCTCTCTTTAGGATTATTTTACTGGGCAGAAAGCACAGAAATAGGTCAAAGATTAGGAAAAGACTAAGGATGAAGAGTTACGTGTTCAAGAAAAAGATAGTTACATACTATCTTTTTATATAAAATATTTTTATATAAAAACCTTCAAGCTCTCAAATAGAGGCAGGGAAGGTAGGCTTCCCACCCTTCCTACTCATTTTGAAAGAGTAGCTAGTGAGGAATTGAAACCCTGCCCCAAGAATCTCTCATTTGGCAGGTGGCTGCCAGATTCCTCACCTAGTGGTCAGCTTTCCTTCTTTTCCTAATGTATATTATTCTGGTTGAGAAAGTGTCAGCTCTTTTCCCTTGCCTTGGGGATTGTCACCAATGCCTGACATGGGGGGGGGGTTGGGTCAGACAGTATGGAGTTTCACAGTATTCTCTCTGGCCAGCCTCCAGTTCTACTGGCCTATAGATCCCAGTCCCCCAACAAGCTGAAATGAGTGCGCAAACTTTTTCCTGGCTACCTGCTGCCAAGTCATTACCTCTGCACCTGCATTTCCCATGTCTTTCCTGGCACAGGTATAAAAAGGAGCAGGCTGTAGTCCAGGATGAGCTGTTCCAGGTGGTGATGAAGAAAAGAGAGGCAACCACAAAGTACCGGAGTGCATTCCTGCATCGAGGGGAGGGCAGCGTTGACCAGGAAAAGCAGAAGTCAGCCCTGATGGTGAGTGCAGATCTTCCTGAGCTGGCCTTTCATGCTTTTACAATACAGGGAAGCAGAGGTCGGGCCTGATTGGTCTGAAGCCCGGGGCACAGGCTGCCCATTGGATGTCCTCCAAGTCACCTTTGTAGAAAGAGTGTCTTTTTAGGGAGCAGAAACTTGGTTCTTGTAAATCTTGCTGTGACATTGATATACTTTGCTACCTCTGGCTTGGCTTATGTTTTCTGTCTCTGTGGAACCTCAGGTCTATAGTGTAAGAGCTGGATCACTTGATGGCCTGGTACTGCTCTGAAACTTGAGAGTTGTAAGTGCTTCAGTGATATGTGTGCTGCTAGGAGGGTGTGAAGGGAGAGGACTGGGGCTTGGAGCCATGCAGTAAATAAGATGTTGGATTTGTAGAATTAGGCAGCCTGTGTGTGAATCTTAGCTCCCTACTAGTTAGCATGGGCACATCCTCTAGTGCCCATGAGCTTTGGTCAAGGGTCACGATGTTTGCACACAGTATTACCCAAGGGATCATTGGAGGTGATAAGTAACTCTGAAGGATGTAGTCCTCCCTGGCAGCTCACAAATGTGTGCTATTGTTGCTGTTATTGTTATTAGTATACTTAACTGATGGGAGTCTCTTAGTTAGGAGTCATTCTGCTGTAAGTGCATGGATATTCAAAGTATGCAGTAGTCACATAAGAAATGTTGTTGAACTGGGCTGGGCCCTCTGGGAAATATGAACAATGTAGGATCCTCTTCCTTGGGATATTTTTAGTCTAGTGAGAAGACAGCCTTACAACAAAACTGAAAAGGCCAAATCAGTTACATTAAGTGTGCAATGGAGATAAAGATAATATGATTAGGTATACAAGGGCAGTGGTGTCGATCAACTGCTGGTGAAAGAGATGGCATTTGACCTCAGCCTTGAGCAATGTGGAGCCCCCAGGCTGAGGGAGCAGCTGGGCTGCTATAGGTGGATAACCAGGAGGTAATGGGACACTGAGAAGTGAGTGAGGTATGAAGCTACATTAGGGAAGGCCTTAGACACCTTGAGTAGTTAACCCACAATATATCTCACAGCGACTCTGAAACTGCAGAGGATTCCCAGATGTTTATAAGGATGGGAACAATGTCATTTGACTTGTGTTTTTAGAACCCTGTGGCATCCTGGTGAAGAATCAGTTAATGTAGAGAGAAGTTGGGGTGGGAACACAGTTTTAGAGGCTCTTGCAGTCTCTCAGGGGCAGGCAGGTTGTTAGCCCTCTGCAGGCAGCCTGACAACCAAGACAAAAATAGTCAGGTCCTGGAGACGAAGGGTTAATCAATGTGGCACAAGCAAAAATGGTTGGCCACCTAGAACAGTCATCTAGCATGGAAAATTGCAGCTTCCAGATGTGGTATCTCTTTATTCTCACCTGGAATGTATTAATTACAATGAAAGGGAATACACAGCATCCCTTCTCCACCTGCAAAGGAGAGGGCTGGGCCCTGCTTCCTGTGGATTATCCCTGGAAGAGAACCTATACAAGTATGAAGTGATATCAATGATCTTCAGTACAAGTGTGTAGGATTTTTTAAATGAAGGCTAACTTTAAAGGAGATAAATTCTTATTTGATTCCTGCCCCTGAATTTCTGGATGGGTAATGCCCTTCTGAACCAGAGTTCCTAGGAAATAGTGAAGCAAGTGACTTTCTTTGTTTTGAAGAGGTTTAGTAACTACATTTTTGGGCATTCCCATTTTTTGACCGTTCAGCATCCATTTCTTCACACATTCGGTGCCCCTATTTCCTTTTGGGACCATACCTGTTTCCTGTTGTTGTGTCATCTTGCTGGGATTGCAATTCTAACTCTCAGCTTCTTCTATGGAAGCTAGATCTCTTCTTTCTCCCTGCCATGGCAAAGGCAGAATCTGGGTACAGGGCCCAAGGGAAGCCAGTCAGATCCTCTCTCTGGGGACTTTCAGTTTTGAGTGAGTAAGGAGGCCAGGGTGGGGTTGTTTTGTTGCATGACTGACCAAGACATTGTCCTGTGAGGCTGCCATTGATTTTTGTCTGGTCCTCCTGCCTTCTTGAGGATTGGATCATTTGCTGGTAACTTGCTGCCAATTCTCCTTTGCTTCAGTTAGCTGCAGTTGGTTTCTGTTGTTAGGTGCTATAGCCGATGCAGAGCCCAGTTTTAAAGGCTTACAGCCACATTCGATATTCTGTGTAAACAGAGGAGAAAGGAAGCTAGAACCAGGCCCTGTTCTGTAAGTGCCAACAGGGTACTCACCTAGATGCTGAGCAAAGCTATGGCCATTACTTCCATTTGTGTTGGTATGGGTGGCATGTGCTTTTAGTGGTGATAACTTCAAAAGTGTACTTTGGAGGATTTAAATAGGAGAAGAAAAATTGAGAGAAGAACCTGAACAGAATCATGGCGAATTTTCATTTTTCATCTGCATCTTCTAGATGCAAGGATTGAAGGAGCCTGCTTGGCAAAGCACTAAAGTTCCCAATGTTGGGATCACAGCATACCCGCTTAGCGAGGAGTCTAGGTTGCACCCTGACGCAGACCTGGCATGGTCACTGGCCACATGAGCTGCTGCACACTTGTTCTCAGTGACTTCTCTGACTAGTGTCCTCTTGAACTTTGTCTGGAGGACTTTTTTTGTGTGTATACTGAGTGCAGTTTGACATTTAAAGTGCTCTTTTGCCCTGTCTCTTTGCCTCTGACTTTTATAATATTAATTTTTTTTTTTTGCATAAGGGAATGATTCAGCTCATAATTGAGAAAAGTTCATAAAACTAATGATGAGGAAAGGTAATAACTTTTATAACCAACTTCTGATGACAAAAGAGTTATCATTTCCCATCTAGTATATCAGTGATAAACTGTTTTTGCCTAATTTTTCACACTTGCAGACTGTTAAAGTCCCTGTTATATAATTGGGGCAATGGCCCTGGTGTCAATGGAGCCTATGCAAGGTATTCTTCTCTCTGAATTAGGGGAGGGAATTTGGTGTCTAAATAAATGTTTTGGAGTCCAAAACATTCTGGAGAGAAAGGAACAGAGTGGTTTTTTGGGCTGAGTTTTCTGATGGGGAGAGCATTAAAAATCCAATTGATGGAATAATAAAGGCTTGGCAGTAGCTTTACTTTAGGGAAGAATGAAATTTATAACCTTGCCTATTGGATTCTGACACATATTATTAGGTATATGTGACTGCATTACACCTGATAGAAAATAAAAACTTTCATTTTGCAGGGGGGTGAGCAGTTTATGTGTGTGTGTATGTATAAGTAAAATTTTTTTGTGTGCTTATATGTTAGATATTGGGTTTCCTGTTAAATAGAAATAAGTAAGATATAGCCTGACTGCTTAAAATCTAGCTGAACAGAAGTTCTGCAACTAAAGATTTAGTTCTACAACTAAAGAGACTTGGAACCAGCTGGTCCCATACCCTTGTGTAGCAGTTAAAAATCTAGAGGGATATCTTGGCTGTGGAAGTTCCCTCTGAGGAGTGAGGGGCCTCAGCCCCCTATCAAGCCCCCTAGCCCAGGATTTCAGTGCCCAGAAGAGAAGTCCCCATAACTTCTGAGTGTAAAAACCAGCAGGACTGTGGATGAGTGAGAGGAAGGGCTTCTGGAGTCCCACATAGCTCCACTTAAGGACCCATACACAGACTTACTCAGATTCACTTACTCTGAGCTCCAGCACCGAGGCAGCAGCTTGAAAGTCACTAGGGAAAGAACTTAATTTCTCTGGACATCAGGGCAAGAGCTGGGGGGGCAGCTTTCCCCCATACGGAAGTCTGGCATAGGCCATTGTTCCCTTGCTGAGCCCTAACCCTAAAGAGTCAGCAGGCAGGCTCCATATCTGAGTCTTCATCAACCTGGCTAACACTGTTTGCCCTGTGCTGGTGATCTATGACCTTGCCCCAACCAACTTTTGGGCCCACCCAAGCCATTTTCAGTAGCTTTTCCATACAAATGGCCTGTCTATGCTCACGCTTTGGGCTTTCCTAAAATCTCTCAAATAAACAGCATCTGGCCTCAGCATGCCCATACCAATAGCTAAGTGACTCCAGGTGTGGTACTAATGGCAGTGGACCTTGGTTCATAGCTTGGTCTCTCCAAAGTGCCTCCAAGCATAGCACAGATAACAGCCATCTGCAGATCACTTTGTAGCTAAGGCAGAGAGCCCACAGGTGGTGGGTGACCTTGGCCTATTCCTCCCAAGAGGCCTCAGAACCAGCACACCCTGTGGTTCAGACCATGTCAGAGCACCTCCCCAACCACTTCCACACTGAAGTGACACACTCAAGGGGTGGACTCAGTGGGCATCAGAGCTCCACTGAAGTGAGTCTTGCTCTGTGGGGTGAACCCCTGCATAGCTGATCCTACATGGTGGTCATAGCCAGTCCTCACAACCAATCAGCTTGGGGATAAATTCTTGCCATTAAGGTGCCAACAGTGATCAAGGTTCAACTACAACAGGAGTGTGCACACAGCCCACATGGGGGGTGCACCTGAAGTGCCTAGCTTGGGTATTGGGGAGGCTGTGCACTGGACCCTACAGGACATTTCCTGCATAAGGCCGTTCTACCAAGCCAGGGAGATGTAGCAACTCTACCTAATGCATAGAAACAAAAGCATGGAGGCAGCCAAAATGAGAAGACAAAGAAACACATTCTAAATGAAAGAACAGAGTAAAACTCCAGAAAAAGAACTAAACAAATGGAGACAATTTACTAGATGTAGAGTTCAAAAGACTGGTCAAATGAACTTGGGGAAGAGTAGAGGAACTTTGTGAGAACTTCAACAAGGAGATAGGAAACAGAGAGAGATAAAAACAAAAAAGAATCAGAAATGAAATATACATTAATTGAAATGAATAACATATTACAGAGAATTGGCAGTGGAGTAGATAAAGCTGAGGATAAAATCAGAGTTTTGGAAGTTAAGGAAAATACCTAATCAGAAAAGCAAAAAGAAAAAAAAGAATTCAAAAACATGAGAATAGTATAAGAAGC